TCGTAGATATTATGTACTTTGACAACCTAAAATTCTACGTGTCTAAGTTTCTAACCTGACGTACGAACGAACTGCATGCATCCCAAGTAATATACGAATAGATGAATAAGAAATGGTAGATCTTCAATGTAAAACGAAAGAGAAAACGAGAGAAATAGATTATTTAAAAAGTATTTGAACAATTTAACATTAGTAACGAGTGTTTAAGAAAGTTCTTAGCGAGTAGTTTATTTTATTACCCTGGTAGTTAACAAAGTGTTTAGCAGCCGAACCCCGAAGTAATTCTTTGATCTATCATGAAATAATGTCGTACAATTTCTTGCTACATCCAGCATGTAGTGTTCAACCTATAGTTACATATTTAACGATGTTCTTTTGTACACTTACATAGTCCAGAGTATAATTCTACACGATTCACAGTTTTGTTCTGGCACGTGAAGTTCACTTGTTCAAACTTGTTCTCAAGGATTACGATTAATATAAAGAAAGTATATTCCCCCTTTTCTCCAAGCTTGATCCGAATGTTTACACATACTGGGTGATCCATTTTAACGTATAAATGCTTGTATTTTAGAAAGTATGTTAAATTGTAAAATTTGCTTTTTGGGAGTTTAAAGGAGGTGAAAAGAAAGAAAGAAATCCCTCCTTAACGTACCCCCGTAAACAAGATTCTATGGAGTTAAATTTGAAGACCTTGACAGACACTGCAGAAAATCTTCACAGTGAATCCAACATTGAGAGAATAGTGCATTTGGAGAATTTGAGACGTTGAAATATCAGTTTCTCAAATGATGAATTTTATCAAACTAAGTGAATTCACCTCCTTCAATCTCCGAAAAATAAATTTTCCAATTTAACATAGTTTCCAAAATATAAGCGTTTATATATAAAAATAGATCACCCTGTATATACATTATGTATAATTTTCAATATCCCCTAAAAGAGGATTCTCGTATCTCGTATTTTCTTCAATCTCTGTAATCTCTTCCGAGCATGCGACACCTTTACTCTTTAATTTTTCTCAACGTTAACTTCCTCTGCTTGCATTGCTATGCGTACTAACTACTGGTTCTGAAGGGAGGTCACAGTGGTATACCTCGGCCACGGACAATTCTCGAGGATTACACCTCGTCAGAACCAACGCTTGGCTCCTCGACAAGACCCACTGAACCACTGCCACGAAATGTCCAGGTAAAAGTTTGACTTTGAGTACGGACTCGGAACAAGAAAAATCCTAAACGAAACTTTGAAAAACGAAAAAAAAAAGAAAAAACGAATAAGATAAAAATTCTACGAGGGAGTTTGAAACATTATCGTTTCAATTTGATAAATATACTTCTTGTACATTTGTCTCGTTTATTCACTCTCTCTTTCTCTATCTCTCTATCTCTCTCTACTGTCAAAAGCAAGAAAAGACGCAACGACGAACGAATGCCCATTCGACGGGTACGCAAACCAAAAGATAGAGAAAATACCGTATGAGAATATCAAATCGATTCGTGTTTCTTTATACGGTGGCTTATCCACGTTGTAATCTTCCATACCGTAGCCTGTCTTTTTGTTACGTACGGTTTTATGGACGTAATCTACCGTAGCCATTACGATATTACGTTCGCCGTCGTAGCTTGAGAATCTAGGAGGCTTTTATATTCCTTGTTTACACGTATATTTAGATGACTGCGTATTAGTGGTGTACGATTAACTGCATGATCATCGAGTAAATGCATAGCACGCGAGACTTAATCGCTGAATATATCGTTTGATTCTCTTCTTAAAGTAAACGTTTCTGAGACTGTCGTATACAGGTTGTGTCAAGTTAGGTGGTACAAAAGGGTACGAAGTGATTCCTCTTCAAAAAATACGTCGAAAGTGTGGAATACAATTTTACGGTGCGAGCCCTCGTTTTTGAGAAAATCGACTTTGAAATTTCTGTGGGGCACCGCATACAAATTGCGCTATTTCGATAATTGGATTAATATCGACAGATAAAATAGATAATACATAAGATATAAAGGAAGAGAGAAGTAAAATGATGATATTATCGAAGTTAATAAACATTGAAATACGAATAAAATTAACAGTCTATTGCAAAATCCAATATGTCGGAAATGTGCTGCCCCACAGAATTTTCAAAGCCGATTTTCTCGAAAACTAAGCCTCGCGTCGAAAAATTTTATTCCACACATTCGATCTAGTTTTTCACAAAGAATCAATCTGTACTCGATTCTACCACCTTTCGTGAAACTTCCTGTGTATGTAGATCTTTGGGATTTTAAATAGAGAATTTCGTTAGAGAAATACAGTATTCAGTATAAAGTAGAAAAGTAGACGTAGTGTTGTTTAAAATAACATTAACTATACCGTAACGTTGTTAAAATACACTCTTTTTCGGCAACATGTCTATTTCCAGATATATTAATCCAATGAGCGAAAGTATCAATCAGAATTCTTCTCAATTTCATCACACAGTCGTGATAAAACCGATCAAGTCTCTATTTCTAGGTTCTTTTTTTTTTCTTTAGTGTACATAATCGGTTCAAAAATTTCTGCACAATTTACAAGAAGATTCGTCGTTACAATCGACTTCAGTTTTGTACCATTTTATTCCATTTCACTAGAGCAACGACTCCAGCGAAGAAACGGTGCATCGCAGCAATATCACCGCGGATGCAAGTCCATCTGAGGTTACCACCGACAACGAGAACAAACATAACTCGTCGGAGGAGGCTTGGACCGACGTGAACCTGAACGAAGATGGTGACACGATGCCGATGGCGAATCAGAGAGAGGATCCGCGAAACATTCACAATATGGCTCATTCTCGCGGTAATCATTATTTTTGAAATAGAAAAAAAATCGAATCGTTAAAAAATCCGTGATTTGATACAAAATTTTCAATTCTCTTTCAAATTTCAATAAACCCAACACTCATTCTCGCGGTAATAATTATTTTTGAAATAGACAAAAATCAGACAAAAAGTATATCCTGTGAATTTTTTAAAAAATTTCAATAAACCCATTGCTTTTATTTTCAATTTGAAAGTGTCCAATTGAAGCGCATACAGTGGCCATTTCAAAGCACTAAGATTTAAGATAGAAGTTTGTTTGCAGTCTGTTTAACAAACGACAGATTTCCATCTAAATCCCAGGATCAGAAGTCCCTTTTGTCCTCCCCCTTTCTAAAATCCCTTCACTTTACATTCACTTCGTCCATTATTCTCGATCTCTCAATATTTCTGCGTGTGGCCATTTCCCAACACCAGGATTAAACACGAAGAACCCGTCGACTTTCTAAACACTCGAGACGTCAAAATAATTACTGCCAACAATCTACTTCTCAAATCTCCCCATTCCACTCCACCAATAATTCTACCTACCAATTTTTTTCTCCCCGGAGAATCTTCATTTTCCCCATTATCCTCCAACTAAATTCAACATTCTAACAGCCTCTCGAAATGCTAAGTTCGGAGATAACGATCTATCAACTACCTGTCTACTCCTCAGTTCTCCAAAAAGGAAGATCCGTTTTCACGTCCCTCGCGTAGAGATAACCATCGCCAACTCTTTCCATGTCCGCACTCTTCTCAAAAATTCCACGCTCGTATTTCTCTAGGTCCTCTTTTCACTTAGGCAAACGAAGACTATTAATTTTCGGTTCAGGTGACATCCAGGACAACGAGGGGAACGTTCTGGAGCAAGGGATGATGGGTAACGCTGAACGTGGTGAAAAACCATCGGCAGAGATCTCTGTCGTCTGCGTGTCCGATAGATTGGTGATGACTTCCGCTTCACCGCGACCGGAGGACGTACCTATCAAAGGACTGGTCGATCATCTGCCAGTCCCGACGCCCTCGCGCGAGGCGTCGCTCACGCAAAAACTGGAAATGGCACTGGGCTCTGTTTGTCCACTCCTGAGGGAGATCATGGTGGACTTCGCGCCGTTCCTCTCGAAAACACTCGTCGGCTCTCACGGGCAAGAGTTGCTGATGGAAGGGAAAGGTAGGACTCGTAAGTGCATAACTAACCGATTAATCGATTTTTACGCTTGATGTGTATGTGTTTTCTGCTACTAATACTTTGGGACATTAAACGGCGTAAGGTGCAAAATTGTTCGTGCTTTTTGTACGTGTGCTGGGTGTGAATCGGTGAGCGGAGAGATGACGAAGGTGTTTGACACATTGTGAATGGGTCTTTCGACGTTCAACTTGCTAATTGGGTTCATATGTGGAACGGGAATTGGATCTGTCTAGTTTGAAATAAACATTAATATTAGTAATATTAGACAAGGGGTTAAAAGATTAAAAAGAGAAACTTCAACTGAACATTTAGCTTAAATTAAAAATTTTGATTTTGTATCAATTTGAAGAAAATTTTCATTCAAATCTACATTTCGAGGAAAATTGTTTTTCAGAAAGTTACACAGATTTTCGACAAAAGGCTCGTCCACGATGTGTCAATAGAAGAATGTGACAAAGTGTAAGATACACAGGGTGTTGAAAAGAAATGGGTCAAGAGGTTGCAAGCTTGCAGCATGAGACACGTTGACTAAATATATTAACCAGACTAAAGTTCACACCTCGACGAACCTCTCTCTCTCTCTCTCTCGCTTCTACCAAAAACAGAAAAGGAGAAAAGGAAAAGGAAAATTGAAATAATAGCCCTTTGTTTTCAGAAAAACCGAGCGCCGACGCGTGATTTACATTCTCTAAAGAAAACGAATTCGCAGACCGATGTTCAAGTGAACGCCATAATTCAACATACGTTACCACAGATTCCTAAGCCACGTTTTTATCAACACCCATCGCGTACACACGCTCGCGTCTTTTTTATACCAGCTTGCTCGGCTCATCGCGGTCGAATGTATTCAAATTAGTCAGTTTATGGTCTCGCTTAGAAAGATGGAACGCGTATTCCGGGATAATCGTTGAACATTTGTATTCACGTGACGCGCGCAGTCCGTGCCACTTCGCGGGGATTTTATATTCGTGGAACGTCGCGGATGACGGCCGTGCCGCGTATCGATGCACATCTTATTTTTCTCCCTTTTTCTTTCCAAAAGGAACACCTCGTAGCGATACATTCAGCGTCGTTTATAAATCACCCGGCCGTCTATTGCCTTCCCTATTTCTTTCTCGCTGCTTGTTGCTCACTCTCACTCTCTCTTCCACCTTCTTCCTACCCCTTTAGTGTATTTTACACAACTCGAATTTCCAAACGACGCCTTCCTTCTTTCCTTTTCATTCACGACCTTCGTTTCGATGATCGTTCCTCCGTCGAGCGAAACCTTTTAACGATTCTCCGTTTCTTCTCTAGGTCTGACCACCTTCAAAAACAGCAATTCCGTGGTGGAACTGGTGATGCTGCTTTGTTCGCAAGAATGGCAGAACTCGTTGCAGAAACACGCAGGCCTGGCTTTCATCGAGCTCATTAACGAGGGAAGGTAAGAAGGGCTTCTCATTATGATGATCGTTAGAGTGGACAGAGTTATAGGACGGTGAACAGTATCTCTCTCCTGTTATCGTAAAAGTTTACGTTTATGCCTGTCCGCAGGTTGCTGTCTCACGCGATGAAGGATCATATAGTGAGAGTGGCGAACGAGGCCGAGTTTATCCTGAATCGTATGAGAGCGGACGACGTGCTGAAGCATGCTGACTTCGAGGTACAACATGATTTTCTCCGCTCCGTTAATTGGCATTTATTTCTTTCTTTCTTTTTTTAATAAATTTACGAGGGAGACGTGTTACCGTCGACTACTGCTCTTCTACATGCTCGTTTTATCTCGTCTCGGTGTTTACAGTCTCAGTGCGCTCAAACGTTGCTCGACCGACGGGAGGAGGAGCGGATGTGCGACCATTTGATCACGGCCGCACGAAGACGGGACAACGTGATCGCTAGTAGATTGTTGGAGAAGGTCCGTAACATTCTGTCGAACAAACATGGCGCTTGGGGTTACATGGATCCAATGGCTGCAAAGTAAGTTGTCCTTTGTATTGCGAGATATCGTTAATCATCTCAAAAACTTGAATGAGTTTATGGAATTAATTACATATTGAGGACTCGTGAACTATTTGAAATTTCGAGGACAGTGTGATCCACCGGTTGGTCATCGAGTGATGTTCTCATTTGGCGACGTGACACACCGGTGGGTCATTTTGACATGGACGATGAAGATTGAATAGAGGCGTGACTCACAGTTGGTTACCGGGCGCTACCTATCGTGGGTCGTTGGGCGTGGCCCACGGTAGACCACGTGACGTGGCCCACGGTAGACCGCGTGGCGTGACCCACTATAGACCACGTGGCGTGACCCACTATAGACCACGTGACGTGGCCCACGATAAACCGCGTGGCGTGACCCACTATAGACCACGTGGCGAGGCCCACGGTAGACCACGTGGCGTGACCCACTATAGACCACGTGACGTGGCCCACGGTAGACCGCGTGGGGCGGCCCACGGTAGACCACGTGGCGCGGCCCACGGTAGACCACGTGGCGTGACCCACAGTAGACCGCGTGGCGTGACCCACGATAGACCACGTGGCGTGGCCCACGGTTGACCACGTAGCGTGACCCACTATAGACCACGTGACGTGGCCCACGGTGGGTCATTGAGTGATCTTATTTACCAGTGTGACCCACCGGTGGGTCACCGGTGACTACTGAGAACTCCTAAACCCTCTAATTCTGATTCACGTGATAAATTTCAAATTTAATTCCAAAAACTGTCGCATTGCACACAGGTTGGCCGAATACTGGAAGCTAGATGCTTGGGAGGATGATGCACGTAGACGTAAGCGTTTCGTGCACAATCCACTAGGCTCGAGCCATCCCGAAGCTACACTGAAGGCGGCACTCGAACACGGTGCACCCGAGGATGCGATCCTGCAAGCGCGTGAAGAGTTTCACGCGCATCTCGCAGCCTCGCGTGCACATCAACAGCAATTGCAGTCGGCGGATCTGATGGACGACAGCGAGCTGTTGTCGGACGACAGGGACCTTGACAACGATCTGACAGGTTAGATCTCCCGTTTTATTTCGTTTACCACTCGTATGCATTTCATTTACTACACGTGACACGCGCTTCTCCGCCGTCCTTTTTCAATTCTCTAACACCGCGAAACGTGTGCATACGAGTGTGTTGTGTTACGCGTGTGTACATTACACGTAAGTAACAACGAGACTGTGTTCCGTCAGGCCCAGTGAACATCAGCACGAAGGGAAAATTGATCGCGCCCGGTATCGTTGCTCCTGGTATTATCTCCGTCACGTCCACGGAACTCTACTTCGAGGTGGACGAGGAGGACCCGGAGTTCAAGAAGATCGACAGTGAGGTAAGTGCGCGAACTTTTCAATATTCACGTTGAAACGAATCTAGTGGTACAGTGGAGTAATCGATGTTTTTTTTTTTTTTTTAATGGAAAACGATGAATTTTTCGTTCTTTCCATTAGATTTAATTTTCAAATGTTTGATAGAATTTTAGGAGATTCTGTGTTAGATCGTGTCGCGTAGAATGTGAGATTCTTCAGGGAGGAAGGAAAATCGTTTTTTAAAGTCAAATATTGCCCTTAGATTGTTGAACAGAAAAATTTATGTTGATAAGAGAAGCTCAGAATTTTTCAACAAACAAGTTGTCTCTTAATCGATCAATTTATGATTAAAAATTCGATATTTCATATCATAGCCAAGATTTCGATTTGAATGGGAATGGTACAGTAGAAAATTGAATTAAAAAACACTTTTGCCCGATGAAAATTTTACTTTCGAAGACTATCCTGGTCCAGCTGATAGGAAACGTGTCAATATAACGAGGTTCGCCAAAAAATTTCAGTCGCGTCACTGCAGAATGATTCAGGCACAAAAGATTAAGTGATTCATCATTCTTATCGATTTCGTGATGTTCTGGTTATTTGAAAGCAATGTTTTTTTCGATCGGTAAGAGATAAATGGTTCTCGGAATATTCTTTCGGTATTTTTTTTTTTTCTTCATTTTCTTGGGTGGGAAGGATTGCAAAAAGGAGAAAAAAAGGTAATCAGAAATTCGAATAGCCATTGCGTTTGTCACTTTTCCTCGTTATATATTGCAACTGTATCCCCGTGCTTACATTTATCACTTGTCGCACGCAATCTTAATGATTAATCACTGTGTCAGTTCCTCCGCGTTAAGATACCGTCTATTACATGCATTTGGAGCAACTTGTTGCGTTTGCGAAGCTATCTCTTTGAAATATGGTTACCGGTCGCCGCGCAGATAACGCCGCCCCGCGCTTTCAAATCTAGGACCACGCACAGACACACTTCGCCCGCCCAGGCGAATTTTTCATCGGGGATTTTTATGCTGAGATTTCTCAAGTGCACACATGAAACGCAGATACGATCGTTCTCGTATGAATTTGCTTTAAAACTCGATGCAGTTCGTGATAATTCTTGTGGTAGGGTTTAAATTGATCAGTGATCTAATTGTTTCATTCGTACAATTTTAAGTATAAGAAGTGCAATTGAGAAATGGTAAATATTCACATCGCGACGAATAATGCGAGACGTTAGTTCGCCTACGGTGTAAAATGTAGCAAAAATGCGTTGGCAATCGATCCATTACAAGAACAAATTACCTGGAAAACAACTTCCCACACACGAGCTCCGTAGAGGACGATCGCACGACGTAATTTAAGAAAAATAAAAAGAAGTTCATCTTGAAGCACAGCTGTGGTGAGACTGACGAGCCAGATTACTGGCAGCCATTCGACCGCGACAAAGTGTATTAATCACAGCATCCAGCGAGGAATTTGAATGAATGCGAATCGTAAATGATGAGACGTGGCGAAAGCTTCCACGATACTGACCACAGCATAGTCAGACCTGAGTTAGAATTGGTTCGGACGTGTCCTTGTCTATCAGCGTGCATAATGTAGTCACGTTCCGCGAAGGTGGTCATCCAACCGAGCAAAGAACAAAAAATCGAAAGAGAAGGAAAAAAAATATATACTTAAACAGGAAAAAGGCAGAAAAAAAAGGAAGGAAGAAGTGAAGCTGAGAGATAAGGAACGAGTAAGAAAGAGAGGTGAAAGGGAGAGACAGTGAAGCATGGGAGAGACAAAGAAGCAAAGAAGAGACAGCGGACCAAAGGAAAGACAAAGAAGCAAGGGAGAGACAAAGAAGAAAGGGAGAGACAGAGAAGCGACGGAGAGACAGAAAGGCATGCGAGAGACAAAGAAAAGAAAAGGCAGAGAAACAAGGGAGAGACATAGAGGCAAGGGAGAGACAGTGAAGCATGGGAGAGACAAAGAAGAAGAGAAGAGGCAAAGAAGCAAGGGAGAGACATAGAGGCAAGGGAGAGACAAAGAAAATAAAAGGCAGAAAAACAAGGGAGAGACATAGAGGCAAGGGAGAGACAGTGAAGCATGGGAGAGACAAGGAAGAAAGGGAGAGACAGAGAAGCGACGGAGAGACAGAAAGGCAAGCGAGAGACAAAGAAGAAAAGCAAAGGCAAAGAAAGGGAGAGACAGAGAAGCGACGGAGAGACAGAAAGGCAAGCGAGAGACAAAGAAGAAAAGAAAAGGCAAAAAAACAAGGGAGAGACATAGAGGCAAGGGAGAGACAGTGAAGCATGGGAGAGACAAAGAAGAAGAGAAGAGGCAGAGAAGCAAGGGAGAGACAGAAAGGCATGCGAGAGACAAAGAAAAGAAAAGGCAGAAAAACAAGGGAGAGACATAGAGGCAAGGGAGAGACAGTGAAGCATGGGAGAGACAAAGAAGAAGAGAAGAGGCAGAGAAGCAAGGGAGAGACATAGAGGCAAGGGAGAGACAAAGAAAAGAAAAGGCAGAAAAACAAGGGAGAGACAGTGAAGCAAGGGAGAGACAGGGAAGCATGGGAGAGACAGAGAAGCAAGGGAGAGACAAAGAAGCAAAGGAGAGACAGAGGACCAAAGGAGAGACAGAGAAGCAAAGGAGAGACAAAGAAGCAAAGGAGAGACAGAGAGACACAAGTAACGAGAGAAAGACAGAGAGAGGGAGAGATAAGAAACCGAGAGAAAGAGAGCTGGCTCCAGGAGAGAGAACTAGAGGCCGATTATCATATATCGGTCGTAGATCTCGCGTTTGTATAACTAGGGAATAAAACAAACAGAGAAGGGCCCCATGGGGTCGGGCGATCTTCAGGGTCGGCAATTATGAGCCCCCCGCGGGGCCCGGTATCTACCTAGGCCTCGCTTCTCCCTCCCTCCCGCCCTCTTTCTCGCTCTTTCACGCGCGCGTTGCATCGCTGCGCCACGTACCGTGCACACATCGGTGGCATAGGTGAGCAGACAGCACCTCAGGAATGCACTCTCCCAACTACCAACGCTTTCCCGCCTATCTAGTAACTATTGCACGTCTACCGCACGACATCCTGTTTATGCGATCCTCTTCGCGATTCGATGGGAACCGATGGATCCAGGGATATCTGCCTCGATCGAATTCCGCGCGCCGGATATTTATAGGCGTCGTTGCAGAACCTACCGAGTTTCATAAATATTGGTGACAGAGGTGGAAATATCATTTGCTCTGCTTTGTGGCGAAAGATGCCGGTCTTTGGAACGTGTGGCGTTGGGTAAGAGAGAATCGAGGCTCTGTTGCAACGATGTTGTAAGAGGAAACAGAAGTTGCTGTGTATACTATTTTTGTTTTGCGACGTTTTGTTTCGAGTTGATTGAAACTTTCTGATACCGCGAGGAATTAATTGGTTTTGTTTTTTGTGAATAAAGTACTTGGTAGTTTATTTCAGTTCTGCGAGAAGAATTCACGAAGAGTGGATGTTAAAAGGCACAATTATGTAACAGAGTATTTATGCCAAGATTTTCTTAGATGGACAGGCGTGTGCAGGTTTTTGCCACGTTCTCACGATTACAACACTCTCTGCGTTGGATGTATAATGAGGTGAGGATAGGCGAATAAATTAAGTTTTATAGAAAGATAAAGTTTGAAACAGGAAATATTAATGAATAACGTGTCAGTGTATAAGATACACGAAGAAGTCTGAGATACTCGCCGAAATGTGAATAAATCGATTAACGAGAAGAATTCCGACAGGAAATGTGACTCATACGTAAAAAAAGGAAACACCTGAGAGTCGAACTTTTCAGTTTATCCATTCGGTCGAAAATCTAACACGGGAAATGTGAGCACAAGCATGTCACCTCTCCTCTTTCCCCGAATCATCAAGAATTCCTGCGGGTCCCAACAATTTCATCGTGTTCACCTGTCGCCTCCGATATATCTCAGCCGTAGGACGAGGCGAGCCGTACCTGTGAATAGAAGCACGAGCTCATTGGGTCTCTTAATTGGAATCCTGCTTAAAGACGCTGAACACACCTGGAGGAACATGGACGCACGACTGTAGGAACCGAAAGATGAACGAAAAAGAGGACGGACTAAAACCAACATGATGAAGAAGAAAACGAAGAAGAAGAAGAGGGAGAAATACGAAGAACAAGAGGAGGAAAGGGTGAAAAGGAGCAGTGGTAGAGAGGAAAGAAGGAGTGAAAAGGCGAAGATAGCAGCGGAGAGAGAAGGAGAGAGAGAAGAGAAGAGACAGAAAGGAAGCAGTGGTAGAGAGGAAAGAAAGAGTGAAAAGGCAAAGAGATAGCAGGGAAGAGGAAGAGAGAGAGAGAGAGAGAAGAGAAGCAGTGGTAGAGAAGAAAGAAAGATGGTAGCGAAGAGAGAAGAGAAGAGACAGGAAAGAAAGAGTGAAAAGGCAAAGAGATAGCAGCGAAGAGTGAAGAGGGGTGACGAAGAAAGAGAGGAGAGATAGAGGTTAGGTCGTTCACGATCGAGACACGCTCATTAGTCGAGGATGTCCCGAGGGTAGGCGGGAGGCTTCGTCGAATTCGTAGGCGATGGATCACTCGATAGTCGAGTCGAGACTTAAGCGATCGTAATGCGCGGCCGTAGAGGAGAGGCTGCATCGGGAGTGGCCCCAGGGAGGGACTGCATATCGGTGAACTCTCCGGTTCACCAGGTTCGTCTGCCCTCCCTCTCTCTCTCTCACTCTTTCTCTCTTGTTCGCCGATCGCGCCGATTCCCCTTCCTCCACTCGTTCTCGAGCTTTTATAATGGTCCAGGCAAACGTATTTATCGTGATTTATTGTTTACACGGGTCTCCTTTCTCTCTGGCTATCTCTGTCCTTTTCCCACCAACGGTGCACCGTCTCTCTTTCAACGGGTTCTGCGCTAGAGATAGAGGATGCACACCGTGCGATTACGTCCGATGTAAATTATTGATCGTCCACGGGGAACATTAATATCTAAAACAAATAATGGACCGTTACACCCTGAACCCTTTTGAGCTCTGCGCGCC